TTTTATGAGAAATAGTCTGTATTTCTCATTTTTTTTATTCTTTTGCGTAAAACTAAAATTCATGCCAATATTTTTCCATGATTTATAATAATTGGAGTAATGCAAATGAATATTTTCTAAAAAAAGTTTTTAGTGAAATTTTGCCGGGAATGGGGCTTTAACTTTAAAAAAGAAGCTTTTTAAATCTGATTATTCATCTAAAAATAATACTTGACAATTACTAACGATTATAATTTGGTATATATTTATATTAGATTTCATAATTATTATCAACTTATAGATTCTACGTATAATATATTACATTAAATCTCATAACTCTAGGCCTAATTGCAGGGCTCAGACAACACGGTAGCCAGCGGGGAAAACATCGTTTACCCTGCGTGTAGCCGCCGTAAAATTAATGAGGGCACCCTCTATCCGTAGGAGCCGAGCCTAGCTTCGGTACGCGATAAGACAATATAAGTATGATATTTTATTTTATCTAATATGTACACAATATTATTTAAAACTTACTTACCTTTATAGTTTAAAAACTGAAGAAAACAAACCCGTTAACCAAAAAACTAGCGAAGGTTTTCTTTCATTATTGAAAATTGACGAAATATTGGTTGTACTCAAAAAACTTCTACTCTGTACTAAATCGAATCGTGCGCTTAAAAAGCCCATAACTTAACTTTGCGGTCCCAAAATTTCTGCACTGGGGATGGAGAGTTATCTGGAAGTAATTCGGCCAAATTGTGGTATACTTCCGCGAAATACCCAATTAATACATTGGATATCGTATCTCCGTCGGGGCACTATTTTCTATCGCAATGTTTGTATTGCCCAGTATTGCCGACCTATAAACGCCCTCTATCGGGTGTCGGATCAACAACAAACCATACTCTTTGAAGTCAAGTGTAGTAATTAGTCGAATTTACTGAAAAATCCCTGCAAAATATGCCAAACACATTGCGGCCGAAATGGTCGTACACAGCAGGCCTCTTCTTAATATTATCCCTACTTTCTAATCTATCTAGGAGGCCTAACTATGCCTCTGTAGGCCTATTAGGAGGCCGGGATTAAAAGGCCTAGCCTAGGCCTAGTGTAGTAGTAAAGTAGTCACTAGGTGTAGGGGTAGCGTAGGCTAGCCAACAATAACAAGCCTTGAATTTCTAATTAAAAGACTAATTTATTCGTGTATACCGTAATACATCTATGATCAGAATGAACTACAGATAATATTTCTATGTACTCTACCTGACGACATGGTGGAAATCACGCTTTTTCGTTCAAAGTTTACACCTCACATCAGAGTCGGCAACAATCACGTTTTGGGCTTCTATCCAAAAACACTAGTAAAAACAACTTACAAACGCCCTCTATCTAATTTATTTTCTAATCTTAATAAATTTTGTGTTTCAGTGTTGGTGCCAGATACTGTATAGTATAGCCTTTATGGCCAATAAATTATATATTCGCACTTATACACCTTCAGATCAGTGGCACTCAAAATCATAGTGCGTTCATAGTGAGACAAAATAAACGAGTTAAGTTTTTTAACTAACTAATAAAACTTAAAATAAAAAAATTTAATTTCCGATCTTTTTCTAAACGCTTTTCATAATTTTTACAAAATCTATCGAAGAATTTGTCGACTTCTTTTGCAGGGAAAATACATAATGAAGAGTA